GCAGAGCTGCTTGATTTCCAAAGTAATTATCGAGAACCGGGGGCATATTTAACATGCTAAGTTTATCAGAGTACAAACCACTTTTTATACGCCGACCAGCTTTTCATTATGGTTTACGATGGAAATATTACAAGTCTGCTTTAAAACAGGCAATCTTCCAAATGGTTTGGGAATTGTCAGTCTGGATAGCTCAAAAAAAAGCCTGATCTGTGACTAAATTTCTCAAGTCATTTATCAGTTGGCAAGAAAACTGCTTGGCTATTTATCAGGTGCACTTTAGCCCATTCAGAGCCTTTTTTAATGTAGTTTGGAATAAATCTTCGTCGTCTACCGGCACCAGCTTAATTAAGTACGAAACGTGTACGTAAGCTACAATCGTATCACAACCGTTACCCAAAATATATCGCTTGTTGTCAAAGGGCTCAAGACGATCTTGTTGAGTTTGATGGAAACGATATTATGTCGAAATGATAGAAGTTGCTTCATTGTTGCCATTTGCTGTTCTTGGTGAAATGAACATTGTTTATAGTGTTCGTGTCTGATCTTTTGTCTATACCAGGAACATTGACGCGACTTCTTTTGTAATGTCTTCGCGCAGGCTTGTGAAGCGCGTAAACATCTTGCTGACTCAGCCAATTTTGAACTTGTTTGTGAGAAATTTTACTTTTTCCCTTCTCTTTGACTGCTCGGTTCACAGCATCCAAGCCACCGAAACTTGCGGGATGACTTGGATCCAGATAAATGCTGGCCGGTGTTTTCTCCATCACAGAACTCGGAATTTTGTACGATAACTCTACCCCAACAGCAGGCTAATACGCAACGAATGCAGTTTAAGATGTGTTCCAATCCAAAAGTGGGCATAGGAGGGCAACAACCCATCACAGCTGTGTTAACTACCAAGGTAGAAGCACAAATGAATTCTTTTCTCTGGGTGTTGACTTATATACTACTCACGGATCTGAGTGAGAGTGGGCACGAGAAAATTAACTAATTGTTCCCATTCTTCCTCGGTTAATGCTAGCCGATCCGCGAAGTTCAAAAATACGATATACATTTATTTCATCTCGGCGTTTTATAATTTTCAATCCATCTTCTTGTTTTTAGCGTTTCGTAATTGCAATTCAATTTCTTGTTTTCTAGATTGCTAAAGGTAATCGCCTGCAGGTTACCGGAAAAACAAGATGCGAATAATGACCCACTGCTGAGATTTATGAAACAATCGATGCCCGATGCAAAGATCCAAGAGGACCTTTCAGAGTTATGGTACTTTGGCCGTGTTATCTCATCTTCGTCCGGCTTTCATGCTGAGTTCAGTTCCGACGAACTGTCCAACCGACTAGAAAATTACAGTTTGCTTTACTTAGTAGCCACCCAAGAAGAAACTACCAGGATGATTACAAGACTGACGAGACAACATTTGTATGTTAAAGAGTTCAAAGAACTTTAACTTTTGAATTCATCATGTTTTTTCCTTTCGTTTTACAGTTGTGACTTTTTTTTTGTTTAATTAAGTTTTCATTGTTTTCATTGTATCTTTGTCACGCTTCTCTAGTTTTATACATTAAATAATTAACAGTTCATGTATCTTGTCATGCTTTTCTTAGTTGTTGTCACGATCCATGATTGTCTTGAAGATGACAAATGATTCTTGCTCCCGGGTTTCTTTTGGGTTACTTTTCCAACTCTTCTATCCCTCTCGCATCGCTTCGGCAAAGTTCTCCAAATTAGCCAAGGACGCTAGCTTCTCGTCAGGTAAATTCAGCATATTCAGGGAAATCGACTTTCGGTAAGCGTTGATCTGATTGCTTAAATGGATTATTCCATTCTGGATAATGCTGTCGACTGTGGTTTTGATCAACATATTCATCAACACACTTTTTTTTGTCACCATCTTCAAGTTCTTCCATAATCTCCTCGATCTCTCTGCGTTTGTCGTGACGTCATTGTGTGATTTTCAGTTTTCACACTCAAACTACGTTTTTTCACTTTCAGAAGCCATCTTGGATTTAGAAAACAATAGACTCCATTGTTCTCTAAACAATAGTACATTGTCTTCCTCGTCCCCTGATTGGTTAGAGAATGATTAAGCGCCCCTTACTACTAATATTATTCTAAACTTGTTAACGCATGTAGCAGACACTAACCAGGGGAAGCTTTATATTTTGAAGGCCCTGGCTTGACTATTCTTTTAATAGTCCCCGACCCTGAGTTTTTCACCAGCTATCTTTGGCTGTACCACGTGATCATTTTTTTTTTTAACACCACGAGACTCCGGCGTCCATCGTTCTCACACGGATCACAACGATCTGCAACGTTTTCTCGTCTGGGTATGTAATTCGCTAAAAATCTGTCATCAAAATACTAGCAAAACGGATTTTGACCTTACAAACATTCTTAATCGAATATATCGACTAATCTTTGAGTTAGTTACCTACAAGAGCTCGCAAATACAATGTTCACATGCGGAGGTTGTGTGTACTGAAGGTTGTTAGCAAATAAATGCTTTTTGTCTCGTGAATCAACTCACGCGATGCCAACATGACACTTGAATATTGGGTGTCGCTGTCTATTGTACCCAGGGTGCCAGAAGTTTTTCTTGCGCGGTTTCCGATGTCGGTCCTGTCTCGCCGTTCGTGCCGGCGTCTTCGGCCACCGAAGCGAAGCGAAGTATTTCCGTCCGCCGCGCGTGAGGAAAAAAACCTCTGGTAACCAGGGTATGTCTATTGGGAAGAGAAGTAAGAACTGGCTGGCCCGCAATAGCGATATACCGACATATCGGTAATGAACTGCACGTTTTTACTATTATTATTATTATTATTATTATTATTATTATTATTATTATTATTATTATTATTATTATTATTTCATTTCAATAAACTGCTCGATTTTTGATGCCAAATTTAGTAACGGCTTGCCCCCTGGCATACCTTTTTTTCGTAAAAATTGGCAAGTTTGGTGTCCATATTTTCCGTACTTTGCAACGGATCCTTATAAAACTTCGCATATTTATTAAATCTGGCATGACACATTGACCTATGGAAGCGTCTTTGTTTGTTTGAAAAATACGAAAAATTGTTGATATTGCGTGACATCGGTAAAAAGTCCATTATGGTCACGCAAACGTAAACACAAGTTGGAAACAAATTATCTTTTTTCATGTCGTTATGTCTATGTTGTTGTGTTGTTATGTATCTACAGCTCATAAACATTGCCAGATAGACCCGCACGTGGTACAGAACGAAGGTTTGAGGCCATAGGTAAGGGTAAAAACTCGTGACGATGAAACACCTGACTGGCCATTTGGACGGACCCGTGAAGTAAACGTGACACGTCAAAATCAGATTTGTGAAGCTCTCAGAACCGTTAACCGTAAATCCCCTATAAAGCCACAAGGGGCTTGTTTGTTTGAGGCACCTTTAATCAGAGGGGCTTGGGGGGGGGGGGGGTCATTAATGGAGAGGGAATCCGAAGAGCTTATTTATTTTCAGCAAAACGCTACTAGGTTGATAAATAAAATGCTGTACTTTATTTTGTTTTTAGCATATTTCTTACAAATAATAATTCCCACAGCGTCGAGAGTTGTGGAACTCCTTGGGCGAGTCCCCTTCCCACCCATCGACGAGTCTTTCTGTTTTCAACCCACTCCCCAGAGTTAACTTTTCCTGAGTTCCAGTCCCCTTAGCAAACTCACGCCACCAAAATCAAAATGGCGGATTGTGGTGGTTTCGGCAATATAGACTTTCTGGTGAAAGCCTCTGGATTGGCGGATGCTGGGCTCCGTCTAACCATATCATTATTCTTAGGTAATCTTTATCTTATTACAATTTCTGGTGTAGATTTTCATAAGTTTTGCTGATCAGTGATTTAAGTTTTCGTCGCGATCAACAGATCAAACATCTTCAATTCGAGATCAAACAATCGATAGAATCTTGAATGAATTAAAAATGGTAATAAGATCAAGCTGTGGTTCGCGAAACATTTGCTTCACAGGCTGCAAATTGTTTGCCTTCATTGTTTGATTCATTTGTCTGTAGAGTGGATGAACCACGGGGGTTGAAGTGTAGATCTCACGAATACACTTGTAGCTAGTGCTGTGAGTCATGAACTGAATTTCTAAGCCGGAGGCGAAGCAAATTGAATTAAATTAAGTAGAAACCACAGTGCAATCCCAGTTTAGTGGTACCTCTCAATAACTTGAACCGCAACTCACTTCCCTTGAATTTGTTTCATTGTGAATTTACCCCCGATCTAGTGGGCCAGTTTTGATTTCACTTAGAAGTTTGATAAATAGTGGTTCCACTCTGTGTTTACGTGGGCAATCCAATACCAAGGGCTTTTTGTACACTGCTGTTATATCAGTACCAAAACACCTTCATTTTCAGGTTTCAAAGCAAAATTCATGTTTTTATTTATTGTATACCGTGAAGATTTTACATGTATTGCCATGTAAAATGTAATAACATTTCCATTGAACTTTAGCTCATTTTATTTCGATTTCCTTTGCAGCTTACCCAATGGCATTTATTTATCATGCATTTTTCTATAGAACCAAACCTGTTCTTCAGGTATGTTTAACATAGCATCATAATTCATATATTTCATAAGGGGGGTGAATAGGTTTTCAGATCGACAGATTTGGCCTTAAAAAGCGCATGGATTGAGGATTTTTGCAGTAAATCGAGCAGATTTGTGGGTTTTGAAAACACAGTGGATCATGGATCAGCTGTGAATTTTGGCGCAGATTCCGGATTGTGCCTGTCTTGATGTTCAGATCTTGGGTCCTAAGCGAAATTTGGATCATAGATCTTTCTTCAGCCTTGGTCAGTATGTTAGTCAGTTCATCCAAATTATTTCTTTTTTCGAACGAAGCTCAATTAAACTCTGGTGTGAGACCGTTATTGGAATTGTACTGTGTTATAATCATGAAGCATGTTGCCTTCTTTACTGCTTGTGCGGAATTAACAATGGCATTCACATTATTCACATTTACCAGTTTACCTTTGAACTTTTACAATTCTGTTTACGGATGTGGTTATGGTTTCAGATTTGAACAAAAATATTGGCGGAGCAATGGATTTGGTGAAAAAAAGGCACGGATCGGCAGATTGGCATGCCCCTATTCACCCCCTCTTTCATGTTAAGTACCTTTATCATGGTATCTTGACTTCAGTTCATTTTAATTACAATAGCTTTCCTACATATACTTTGCACTCTTCAAATAGCTTCTGATCAATAGGACAATCTTGAGATATTGAGTACTAACATCAGGTGCCAAAGCAAGCTACAGGTACAAGACACAAGTCACAGGTCATAGGGTGCAGGTCACAGGTCACTCTGGTAGTTTGGTCAGCTTGCACTTAATAAGCACTCTGGTTAGTCTGAATGATGCCCAGGTTAGCCTGGAAAACACTCAGATTAGTCTAAATAAGTAAGCTCTCATTTATGATAATGGTTAAGACCTTGTCTCCTTAACCTGTGACCTTTGAATTTTGTGCTTGAATTGGATTAGAGAACTAATTAAACAAAAGACACAACTTGTTAACCCCTAATACCAACCTTGCTGTATTTTTGTTTAGCTCCCTAAACCTTGGTCCCATGTTAGAATTTCGTAAAATTATCAAATTAAAATCAGGTACATGTACATATATATAAATACCTCTACGCATTCCCTTTCAACTGAATTGTTCAATGAAATGCCTGCCAAAGTCAATTAAAGTGTCAACCTAGACAGCCCCCAGTACATTTTAAACTGGAAATTGTGTGCCTTTTTTCCGTGAAAGCGAAGTCCACCAATTCTTGATGTACATGTACCTCTACATGTATAAACCTTCTAAGATGTTCTATGGAGCATTGATCTGCCAGTTATATCTAGAGTATCACTACTTGTTGCCAGTCAGTATTTAAGTTAACTGACTGGAGGTAAGCATTTTGGTTGTTGTATTTGTTATCATGGTTATTTTTTTCTCTATCTACCTACTTGTTGGTTTTTCACCTGAGGTGGCTAGGACCTAAATTTCTGAACATTTATTTAATAAGGCTTTTTTACTCTTTTGCTAGTATTTAAGAAATAGAAAACATGTACCGTGTTTCTCTTGAGTTATAGAAACATGAGTGGAAGTTTGGGAGAACGAGAAATGCTGTGGGAACGTGAGCCGCAGGCGAGTGTTTCCACAGCTTTTCCAAGTTCTCCCAAACTTTCACGAGTGTTTCTATAACTCGATAGAAACATGGAGAACATGTTTTCTTTTTCGTTTAGAAAACACCGCAACGAAAGAAAGGAAAACAGCTTTTGATCATCAAAATGTAAAGTCTCTTTGCAAGCGCCGTTATTATGTCAACAGCTCATGCTAGTTCTGCGTTTCTATTGAGTTATAGAAACACAATTTTTAACCAGTCAGCGCACATATTTTCGTAGGGCTGTTTTCTAATAATATGTACTGAGGAACTGGTGTGTCAGCTGCATGTAGGTTAAAATGGTGTCCTAAAAGACCAATATGTCTCACATGTAGGTGTGGTTGGATCTTTACACATACCTAGCGTCTGCTATTTTGACTAATTAGGCAGGATTTAAACAGGATAACCACTATGTCATACAAATACTACATTTTATGTACATCAATATTCATAGCCATCTAAAGTATTTGAAAAATCTCTTGCAGCATATATACTTCACCTGCTGCGGATTTTCTTTAGCACTTTTCCTTTACGGTAAGATACACTGTACACACTGTACATGTAATACAGAAAAAGATGCCCACTCTTAGTATTCAAAAGAAAAATACAGTTGGTGATTCTTGGCAAGTCAGTTAATCAGCAAATACGGCTGTAGCTCAGGCTCTATAAAAATATATTTTGTGGGCTAAATTTGTATGTATTTATGTATGTATGTATGTATTTGATATGTATTTTTAAACCTGATTTTGATTTTTAATTTCCTTTATTTCAAAATAACATTGAGTTATAATGAGCATTCTACAAAGGAAAGTAATTTTAATTTTAATCCCATGTCAAACCCAGTTAATGCTACTATTATTATTATTCAGGCAGTAAGGGATATATTTTTGTTTTTATAAGGCTGGTGTGCTTGCCACTCAGTGATAACTATTGTTGGTTCCTACCTGCTCTTGCATGTTGTTGGATCATCCATGACCATGGTTGTGCTCATGTTTCTGTTTAATATGGTAGGTGTATAAGGAGACCGCCTTCTTATTCCCTCTCAAAATTTGAATACCTCATCTTAAAGTAATGCTTAAAGACCCAGTACTGACCATTACACTTTTTACACATTTGTTGTTATTTTGGTGTATGTGATCATCATGGTGAGGCTTCTATTGTTTTCCAGTGCTCACATGAGTGTGCAATGCATCTTGGCCAAATCTGGGTCGTTGAATTGCACACTTTTTACTTGTAGCTTGGCCAACAGAATCTCTCTTAGCATAATTGATTCTTGCCCAGTTTGGGAAATACATGTGACTTGATCACAAAATATTATTTATGTTTCTCAGTTTCATGGACATCTTTGTAGGGTCACTGACCCCTTAGTTACTCAATTTGAAATTTTCACATGCAAGTCTGTACAACCACAGTTGTCCAACCCCAGTTGTCCAACACACAATCACAGCTGTTCAACCACAGCTTGGATGTCTGTGGCTACATTATCAGTATATATACATAGATCTGCATCTTGAATCTCGATTGTGACCTCACTGCATGGTTGGAGATCTGATATGGAGTCTATTGTTCCATAGGATTTCTCATTAGAACCATCCATAGTAAGCTGAAATAGTCACATTAGAGACAGTTATAATAATATAGACAATTAGACAAAATACTTCCAAATCATAGCAATTAATTACTGCCTTTTGAAAATGTCTGACAGTGCACTGACATCGTAATTCTCCC